TCCAACAATGTCCAGCCTATACAATAAATGTTTTCTAAAGGCATCTTAAATATAGCTTGGTGAGATAACCAGGGCCCCCGGCTGAATTGAAGGCTGGCATGCACAGGGCGAATCTGAGAGGAGGCGGAGGAGCTCCCTCTGTTAGCTCCAGCTCCTCGTCTGATATATATATATATATAATTATATAGATGTGTGCATGTATATAACACACAAAGATTTTAAAACGATAAAACCAGCTGGGCGTCCCCGGGGCGGCGTCCTTGCAGACGGCTGAGTCTTTCACTCCGGAAGCGATTCCTAGTCTCTCAAGTTGATCTTGATACGACAACAATGATAATAATAATTGGATATAAAAAAAAAAAAAAAAAACTAAAATAAAGAAGTGAAGAAGGAAGGACTAGATTGAAAGATTTTACATTCTTCAAAAAAAAAAAAAAAAAAACGTGGGCCCACAATACTTTATTCAACTATTTTAACTCTCATAATGATTGTTGTTACAGGAGGCTACCCAAACAGAAATATGAGAGGACCAAATTACAAGGGCCGGGCTAAGAAAAGGCCGTCATTAAACACCGTTAGTCCCTCATGAGTTCGGCGCATGACGACAGGACATCTAATAAAATATTCAACACTTTGCTGGCGTGCAGCGAGGTGGTTTGATAAGAAGAGGGACAGTTTATCACCTGAACATAACATTCAGTTACCCACAAATCAGCGAGGCTAATTTACCTTAACCGCCCTTTTCTTATATCTTTACCTGAGTTCCAGATGCGGACTGGGAGACTAACCAAAGCTTTGACCCATCACATGTCTCAGTGACCAGCGGTTGAATTTGGTACTTTCAGCGCTACTGTCTTGCTGCAATTCATTTGTCATCAATAACAGGTGCCAACAGAGGTCGGACCTTGGTGATCTTCCCGGATAATTTGATCAAACCAATAGGTAATATGGATTCGTTTCCTTATTCCAGAGATGACGTAACATCACATAAAAGAAAAGAGGGGTGCTTCACACATGACAAGTGGCACACTGAAGACAGTTACCCAGTGGCCCTTAGTTGTAGTGAACAGAAATTGGCCCAGGAACAATTCAGCCTTCATTAAGGTTAACACTGACTAGACAGTGGCTAAGCCCACRTCGTCTTTGCCCTTACTGAGAGACTTTCCCCTTTTACCCTTGGGGYCGCATCTATCRCTATATTTAGTGGGCACCTTTTAAACAATGAATATTTGAAGTTATTCATCCTACATCTTGGGTGTAACAAAGGGTCTAGGGCGGACCAACAACTTAAATCGATAGCTCAAATCCCACGGATAGATTGAGCTGGGCCAATTGGCTGGATTATTTTATGGGTTAGGTGGAAATGATAATACAGCATCACCTGCCTAGGGACCAGGCTTTGTTCAAATATCGGATATGATTCTTAAAGCATACTTCAGTTCCCTGGAGATGCGTGGCTCTGCTGGAAGCCCTGTTTTATCAAAAGGCAGCGGGAGATCCCTCACGGAGCGGGGACTTGGTACATGGACAACAGTGGAGACTCCCAGTGGCCCTCCCAAGGGGGGAGTCGGGGTGACGGTATCTCAGAGATGTTTAATGGATCACCCGAGTTGGCCGAGTCTGGCGTTTCAGACACACGCATGGGCAATCAAATCACGTCATGGGGCCAATCATCTCACGGTTTGAGAATGGATTTCACTCCCAAAGAAGGGTTGAAGTGGTCCATTGGGGTTAACAGCAAGCGGTTGAGTTACCGCTTAGTTATATGTCAGTCCAAGCCCCCACTGTTGCGTGGTCAATTATTTACGTGAATCATAAAAGTCACAGTTCATTTGTCCAATTCACGTTCTAGTCTAAGGGACCAAGTATAGGGCACATAACTGATGTTAACGAAGCCTTAAGGTTCATAGTGGGCGGTCCGGGACAACAAATATTCTACCAACCTATGATAAGACTGTTTTTGCCTACTATGAATCAGTGATAGCTAGTCCGTATAACCTCAAATTTGGTTTAGATTTAAACTTAAGGGCGCCTCATAACCGAGCCCTTCCCCTCTTTTTGTTATTACGAAGTTACTTAAGATTTTGTGGCTACATGCCCTATTGTTTGCCATGGACCACGTGGGTCATGGGTTTCCACAGTCATCTCATCGACCGTTACAGCCGGCTCCATGAGATCACAAGTTAGACTTGTTCATCTGAGGCAGGTCCTGATAAGACAGGACAAGAAATGGCTAAAAAACCGAATACTAAATTATGATTAGTGAACATAATCAGGACCATACAACTATTGGATGGACTTTAGGCCTCGTTGATGGACATCAAGCCTGACCACCATCAGCAGACCGGTTATGACTTCCCAAATGAAGGGTGGAGCCATTACTAAGACTATATTCGTACGAGATGGTCGGCTGGTGTCATCAGCTAGCACTAAATGCCACGAGTCCAAGGGGTCTCATCTTCATAAYGRCAAGTTACAGATAGCCTACAGATATTGCAGATTGTCGAGTATGCATTTTGGTTTCATAGGACATCGGCCTTAATTTAAAAGGTGTTCGCTGAAATTTGTCTGATAAGGCAATGGGCAAAAGCAAATACATTGGCCCACATCAGTTCTAAAATTTTTCGCTGTTACACAATTCACACTGTAGATTGGTGACGGATTCCCTTATACCAACATAGCCTCCAGATAACTGCTACAACTCGAGGGGACCATGTAGTCTTTAAGACAAGGCTGCGTGATATTTGACAATTTGGCTGGCCTACTTGTTTAAACCCTAAAAGGCTACAGAGACGGCAATGTCGCTCAGTTAAAAGCTATGTAGAGTGCAGGCCGCACTCAGTAARAGGTTGATGTCATTGRGCACAAAGTGCTAGGCATCATATCTCAAGGGAGATATGGAAAGCCGAATTATGGTTGGACCCAAGGGGGTCATGGTAAAAGTTAACCAGTGAGACCGATATATGGCAGGTTTAGCCTGTAAATATACAACCTGTCTTGATGGGACAGAGGGGTACAACGCCCCCTATCCCCTTGTTTTGATCTTTCTTTGAGTTTTACAGCCTCGGTTTGCCGATGGATGGATGACTGACCTGACGAACCATAGGGTCAGAGAGATGGAGCACAGGTGGTGATTGAGATCAATTCAAATGGAAGGGTGCTGGCTGCACTCATTACAATGGTGAGGTCCATTAGCACGGAGTGCTAGACAACTATATCTGAGTGAGAGCGGGTTAAGCCTCACAGATAAKGGTTTGACCTGCGAGGGTCATGGCGAATGTGTTTGTTGAGGCTATGGATATCACAAGGTTAGCCTTGGATATACAACCCGGCTTGCGGGGTCAGAGGGGTACAATGCCCCCTCCCCCTTATCTCTGATCTTTGTTTTGAGTCTTACAGCCYCAGTTTGGTGAAGCACAAACAGCTGACCGGAGGGAACACAGGGTCAGAGCAGCGGAGGCCTGTGCCGGGCTATCGGTCCCATGGTCGGCACTAGAGACCGGCCGTGACTGACGCCAACAGCGAAAGGCTGATATGGTTTTTAAAATTGCGGATCACGGAGCGAGTGGACTGGAGGTTCTACTACTGGTGATCAGTGACAACCTTACATCATGGAAGACTGGTGATACCCCAGCTTCTAATGCATTTCCATCATCACTCATGCTGACACTGACATTACGCAATACCATATTAAGATTTTGTTGGATGGTGACAAGATATACATTGTTATTAATTGAAATTAAGGTTACCACAATTATGAACCGTGGACAAACACAACTGGGTGTTGATCTTTACTCAAACATACGTTCTGGGACAACTTTGTTACAAATTAGGCTAG